CCCCAAAACCCCAAAACCCCAAAACCCCAAAACCCCTGGATTTCCTTAAGATATTGAACTTACATTGATACAAATGAATAGCTATTCAGGGCAATAGCTAGATTCCTTCCCAAGGAGTATTGCCCTTATTATTCTTTGCTAATTGATTAGCCCCATTACTTATCAGCACCTCTGATATCTTTTCGAACCTGTATGTTAACGAATAATGTAATGGAGTATTTCCTTCAAAATTTGGGGTTGGATTAATGCTTGCCCCATGCCTAATCAAGATCTTTAGGATCTCCAAGTTACCGATCTGGGTACAGATAGATAAAGGAGTGTTGCCTTTTTCATCTTGTCGTTCAAGATTGATCTAAATGTCATCAGAAAGCTTATACTGTTTGTTTTTTAAGTAGCTCATCTAATTTTTGGCATCTTCCTCGGAAAATGGAGTCATAAAGGTTCATATAAAACTTCTTCTCCTTTTTAGAGGAGATTCCTTCTCAACCAGGTTTTGCATTTTTATTGTTCTTAGCCTTGTCTTTCATTGATTTGAAAAATCCCTGGGTCTTCCAGATTTTCATAGGGTTCTTACAAGTTCGAAGAAAGAGCCGCCTTTGGACTCCGTAGTGAGACTCTTCATCTGACTCTTTAGAGTCATGGTTTCTTCTCTGCTTTTTATAACTTCCACCATCATCGCTCTTCTGGAATTTCTTCATCAGGGATTTTGATGTCTCCTTAGAAGGTGGATTCGGGCTTTTATTCAAGCTCATGCCTAATGTATTGCCATAATCCTAGAGGTTTACCAAAGAATTACTGATAGGCTTGATTCAGAATGAGGAGTCAGGAATTTAGCATTCTGTCTCTGAGGATCATTTCTAGACATTTGTGAGCTATAGTTTTACTTACTTCTGTAATATAGGGCCAAACTTCGAATGATCTGTTTCAGTCTAGATTTTAGTGTGAGATTATACCCTCTTCTTGTCCTTATCAGAATCAGGATCGAGTTTTTGGATAAAGAGCCCTGGAGTTGTCATCTGATATCTCGAACCCCGTTTGATTCTCTGTACGATATTGGCTTCAGAGGATTCTTCTTCCATGCTAGATTCCACGTCACTTTCATCTGATTTTTGCCAGAACTTGACCATTGCTTTACTTCCTATTTCCTTACGAGGAAATTCTCTGACATAACTATTTGAGAATTCCTTGGTAGTCATCACTTGGATTCCTAAAATATTTTAGGCTGGCCATACCTTTTCTAGTTGGATCCTTTAGTGGAACTTCTTTGATCTTCTTCCTCCTTATTGATTTCTTCTTTTGAAGCGAGGCTCCTGACTGCTTATCTTCGGAGCTAGTCTCCATGCCATCGTCTAGAAAAGTATCGACGTTCTCACTCTCTGTAGAGTACTTGTTCCTATTAGCCCATCTTAGCTTAGTCAGTTTAATTGATTTATGATTGTTATGGCTTATTGGCGACCCAGTAGGGGAAAACTCTGGGCTGTAAGGACTCATATATCCGCCTATATCTTTGTTTCACTCCTCTTGTTCTTTCACATCTTCAAAAGTGATCTTGTTTTTACTAGATTTATGTTCCTTTTGAACCTGCTCCTTTGGGTTAGGGATCCAATCCATATTTCCAGTTTGGTCCCGCTTTAAAATTTTATTAACCCGAGGACTTGCATTTATCTGAGGAGTATTGGTCTTATGTCTTATTACTTTTCTTGGAGTTATTCCATAGCTAAATTTGATAAGATTATCTTAAATTTATGTAGTTAATGAAGAAACTTACTCAATGCCAGGTTGGTCTTCGACAGACATATTCACTTCTTCCTCACTGGATTCTTCAAATTGAGAGAAACTTGATTCACTCACGTAACCGTTTAGTAAATTCTGAGCTAATTCAGGTTCCTTAAACAGCTGTAACTTTCTTTTCTTCGGTTCGAATATTGTAAAGAGTCCTTCTGGTGATTTGATAATAACCTCTTGATATCCGAATACAGTGGAAAGCAGGAAATTAGGGTCAAAATCTCCTGACTCAACCTCACTATCCTCACTCATGATTCTCTCTAGAGTTTGGCCATCCCTCTGTTAACTTCCTGATCTACTGGAGACAGTTTCGAGCTACTCAGCTGGTTCTGTGATTCTCCTTTACTCTTGGAATTCTTTGAGAATGAAATTGGAAGCCTGCTTGGTTTTCTTTGAGGTTTACTATGAAGGCTAAAGAATTAGATAAATTTAGTCCCAAGGAAGGTTAGTCTAATACAAAAGAAAATATATTGGGTTTATATAAGCTTGTTGAAAGCTCAGCTGAACATACCTGATTCTATCAGTCGCATGTCAAATGACATTTACATCATCGGAAACGACAATTGAAGCAGAGTGTTGGTAATTCTTGCTGAGCTGTTTTTCGAATTTCGTGTTTTTAAGTGAGATCATACTATTTTTGTATGGTACTTTCCTTTGATTCTTGTTCGTTTCCCTTCGAGCCATCTCTATACAAATATTATCCTCTTTATCTTCCACTGGTCAGCAAATGGATGAAGATAGCCCTGTAGAACTAAGAGAGACCATGATGCCCATACTACTTGCCTGTCGTTTACGAAATATGTTGATAGCTGCTCTAACTTCTTGATAACCAAGGACTGATATTCAGTCTTTGGATATGCTCTAGGGGAGACTAAGTCTGAATCAGCGGGAAAAATAATCTTCATGATTTCTTTATCAACCGAATTGGAAAACACTATGTTCTTTTCTCTTTTGTACTCTATAAAGTTATATGAAGGGATTTACCATGTAATATTGTGTCCCCATGATTTTCCCTGATGAAATTTATCATAAAACCCATTTTCATCTTCTTATGTTTTTGTCTGGACAAATAATATGATAGGAAAGAGTCGATGAGAGAGATTAAAACTCAATTAAGTGATGCTACAAAATATTTTTCTCCTATGTAAAATAGATTTTATCTAACAAACCTATCATATTTAAATAACTACTTTTTACCTTTTAAATCTGGCAATGTGAGAATGGAATGAACCTATTGGTAACATGCGTTCATAAAGGATTTTATCGATCCCTGATATTATTCCTTCCAGATAGACCTCTAACTTATGTCCTCCAGTAGGAATGCAAAGACCAGTTGACTTTGCTTTTTCAATGATAGTCTTATTTGATCTCCTCACAAAGCTCTTTGAGGAGTATTGATCAAAAATAATGTCCATTCTTTTCCTAGCATATCCGGTGTTAAGCTCTTTGATCAGAGTATTATCAGCAGTATTCAGCCTTACAAGACTGCTGATTCGGTTAGACTATAATAATTATAGACGATTTTACATAGCTCTTGCTGCTCATACTCATGATCAGACTTTTGACATCTTTATACTGAATCTGGCTTCTAAAAATATGAGATGTTGTACACACCTGTAAAAATCTTTACTCTCCTCAACCTCTTCGTCGAAGTTAAGTCCTTTTACATGGCGATTGTCTAGGTTGCAAAATATTAGGCACCTCTCAAAGTCTTTTGGCGCATCTTCTGATTCCTGCAATTGTACCAGAGACTCCTCAATGTGCTTATTTTTAGTATCTTCATAGTTCTTGTGTAAATTACTCGTCACCATCTTCTTAAGACCATGATTTAGGCTTTGCAAAGAAGACTCCATGTTACTTTCTTTGGTTTTAAAATCTCTCTCTGAAAGTACCACTGAAGGCAGATTTTGCTTGAAATAACTGAAATCAAAATGTGAAAAGCTATTATTTAGTCTCCTGTATATCATCAGAGTACTCCTTTTCCTCTAGGTCATTTATCTCAGGGCCTATAGTTTAGACATTTTGAAGTACCGATATTGGTCACTGTTCGTCTAATCTGGGCTCTTTTACCTCCTATAGAAGATTCAATGGCTATAGGTGTATTCATGCTTTGTCTAGTCCGGATAGGTCTCTTTACGAACTTATGGGAGCCATCTAGTTCACCAACCTCATCTTCTTCTTCCTCTCCTTCTCCGTTATATGTGCTAAAGATGATGTTGTTGAAATGTGTACCTCACGAAGGAGTTTGATGCAGAATTTGACTTGCTTTCTTCTGTGATTCGTTTATCCTCTTCCTAAAAGGTTACTCAGAGATATACCTTGATTGCTTGCAACTGCATGATCTTGTTGAGAACCTGAGTTGTTTGCTTTAAGTCATACTTTGCTAGAGTCGGTTTCTGTGTGAATTTATTTTTCAATGAACTTTGATCCTGCATTCACGCTTAAATTTATATTATTAGTCATTTTCTTTGCTTTATCTGAAAAAGACTTCATTCTTCTATGAACATTATGGGGATTTTACTGGAATCTTTTGGTTTGACGATTAGAGTTAGACTTGCAGTACTCAGCCCTTCGAGATTTAGCCCAGTTCGAGTCATTATAGCCCCCTCGTCTTTGGAACTTGTTAATTGTCAACTCGGGGATAGAATATTCTTGCCCATTGATAAAGATGGTAGACACCTTTTGGATGGGTTTGAGATGAGTCTTACTCTTACGATACTCTTTTGAATGAGTAAATTTTCTTATTGGATTACTTTTTCTTGACCTATTATTGTTAGACTAGTGTTTGAGTGTAATCTCAAATATTTTATATAAATCATAATATAAAATTTCATCTCTTCTAAACAACAGATATCTTCTTTCAAACCCTACAGAAGCACCCAGACATCACCCCTGTCCACTCTCTTTAACATTTATATCATCACTGTAACAATCTCCAAACTTCAAATCCGCAAAAACTTCACTCAAAACACCCCAAAATCCCTTAAAACTGCCCATAAATCCCTCTAAAATCAAAAATCCGCTAAAAATCCAAAACTCACGAACAAAATTTTCAAAATTTTCTTCTTGAATCCAAACTTTGTTCATGATCCACCACATGCCAAAATTTGTACGGTGAAAACTGAGATTTAGGAAGTTCTCATAGAACAAAATGTGGAGAATTTAGAGGAATTTTTGGAGGGATGAGAGTACTTACCCGAAACTTTCACGAATGTTGTTCTTCCTCTGGTAGTAAGAGGTTGATAGGAACTCGATTGGCTTCTCGAAATCGTCTTGGAACATTATGTTGTTGCCAGAGAAAGTTATTAGCTTATTTTCGTTTATTGAGTTTTTTCCATTTCTGATCGAAAATAGCATTTTCTGGCTGATCTCTATTTGTCCCTCTGGAAGATTTTATCCTCGATGATTACACTTTGAGGTTCAAATAAGCAATCAAGAGCTTGGTCAAAATCTCTGTCGAAGTTGGAACCGTCTTCAAGGAGGACAAGATTGTTTGCATTTCGGAGGCAGTTTTGCATATGTTCCTCGAATACGTTCACTGGTCTCCACATATTAGCCATTCTTACCGAAGAGAGGGAGTAATTTGATAATGATTCTCCAAGAATTCTACAAGATTAATTAGAAAAGTACCATTCTTGCTCGATCCCGGTAGCTAAGTAGCTGAATGGTTTACGGATATTATCAAGATTTAGCTTTGGTACGAATGACTTATAACCGGCTAATTTTAGTGTTGATAGCTTTGGCTGATGGACCTGCACTGAAGACCCCTTGTGAAGTGTAGGTTTTAAGATTTTCTCAGAACCTTCCTCCTTAATAAATTCTTGATGTTTGGGTTCCTCTATTTTATCAGGAACTTGGTCTTGAGGAATGTCTGTCTGCAATGCAGCATTATGGGTCTTCTTATTTTAGCATTATTATCGAACTAGATGATTTTTGATCTAAACTAGTAAAAGAAATTTACTTTTAAGTCTTCTCTCTTTCCTCTTTCGAATCTTTTCTTTTATTGAAAGATCTTTAAAATGATCGATAATAGAGAGTTTAGCCCTAAAAATGATCAAAATGAGCTACAGTTTGTCCTGAACACTAGAAGGTTTCTTTGGTTCAGTTCTGGCTTCACTGGCAGCATCCCCAAGATCTTTCCCTTGGGTGTTTAGCATCTCTTGCATTGAAGAGTCATCTTTTCTCTCAGAAACTCTAGAAATCGAGCCTTTTAAAGAATTCTTTTTTGGGCGGATTTTGAATTCTTTTGGCCCATCAGGAATATTTCTCTTCAAGAATGTTCGAGATTCGTTCTATTTTTAAAGGCAATAATACCTGCTGCAGGCTGTTGGTTAGCTCGATTGCTCCAAAAGGACTGATTCTTTTGATCGAACTCACTCGAAGCTCCTCAAATGGCTTGCTGAAGCTTCTTCTTAGGTCATCTTTGCTTCATCTAAAATGTCAGAACTAGAAGTTTACTGTGGAAAAATCATAATTTTGGGAGTCTTATCATTATTATCCATGCCTAGAGCGATCAGAAAGCTAAAATACTTGTATGAGGTCTCCTAGCTCTTCTTCTCAAGGATCCCTTGACATTAAGCCTTTTGAGATTAGCTTTATGCTCAAGAGTGTTTCCCTCGACCCTTTTAAACATAAGATTGTTAAAAAGAGGTTGCTTGAGAACTTCATTTTTAGAAGATCTTCTTAAATGCTTGTGAATCCGCTGATTGACTCCTTCATAGCCTTTGTCGCTCTTAGTCTCTTCCTCTCGAAATTCAGCTGTCCTCACAAGGCTGTGTGGGTCAAAGTTCCTTGAAACGGAGAGTCGATGCTTCATCTTCCTATTGAGTCCCTTGTATTTATTACATAGTCTCTTCTTTTTCCGAAGAAGGTCTCTTTGGAACATCATTTTCCTCTTCTTCCGTTTTGATCTCTTCTTATTCCGGATGGGAGCCTTCTCCCTAAAGATTTGGTTAGTTTCAGAAGATGGATTGAGTACTTAGGGATAGGTTTTGAGAAGTTTATATGCTTTTGTTTTTATTTTCTGCCACTTTAATTTCCTCTTCGCTAAGAAAATTTACACAAGAGATATTACTCATTGTTTTGAATTGGAATTGACTTGCCCAGCAGATTACTCATTGTCCGTTTATTTTAATATTTGTGATTCGCAATCTGATTTAGCCCTTCTGTCTCTATAAGGGTTTTAAAAGAAATTACCAGTTGATTTTCTCCTCGCAAGCAAATTTTCCTAGACAAGGAGTGTCGGATTTCGGATAAAATGCTTCCTTGAGTCTTTTCATCAGTCCTACTTCTTCACTGATATGATCACTATGCGATGTAAGATGTTTAATGGGTACTTTTCACCATAAACTTCTTCCTCAATTTGGCTAATATATTGCCTATAGTATATCTTAAGAGCGGTTCTTCAATTTCTAGAATTTACATAGGGACTTATATGATTATAAGGAAGAATATAATGTCTTGAATCTAACACATTTTGAAAGAACCACCTGCTTTGAATATTCAAAACCAAATTCTGTTTCCCATAAGTGTGGAAAACTTAAGGATCCTGAGACAGTAGAATGCATAAAGATGAAAGACTTCAGCTTAGTTATGAGGGACTTGGTGGTCGTAGGATAATTGGCTAATTAGAGTAATGGAGAGATTTACTTACTCCATTTTTAATATAATTAACTTACTATATTTTGGGGTTTTGGGGTTTTGGGGTTTTGGGGTTTTGGGGTTTTGGGG